CCCCCCGCGCCCCGCCGCGCGGCTGCCCCTGCTCGCCTATCTGCTGGCGCTTGCGGCGCCGGCCCGGGGCGCAGACCAGCCGGTGTGGCGCTTGGAGCAAGCCATCGGAGCCATCGCGGCCAGCCTGAGGGACGGCGTGTTCGTGGCGAGCGGCAGCTGCCTGGACCAGCTGGACTACAGCCTGGAGCACAGGCTCTCGCGCCTGTACCGGGACCAGGCGGGCAACTGCACCGAGCCGGTCTCCTTGGCGCCCCCCGCGCGGCCGCGGCCCGGGAGCAGCTTCAGCAAGCTGCTGCTGCCCTACCGCGAGGGGGCGGAAGAGCTCGGGGGGCTGCTGCTCACCGGCTGGACCTTCGACCGGGGCGCCTGCGAGGTGCGGCCCCTGGGCAACCTGAGCCGCAGCTCCCTGCGCAACAGCACCGAGGTGGTGTCGTGCCACCCACAGGGCTCGACGGCCGGCGTGGTGTACCGCGCGGGTCCCAAGAACAGCTGGTACCTGGCGGTGGCCGCCACCTACGTGCTGCCGGAGCCGGAGACCGCCAGCCGCTGCAGCCCCGCGGCATCCGATCGCGACACGGCCATCACGCTCAAGAACACGGAGGAGCGCAGCCTGGCCACGGCGGAGCTGGGCCGCCTCAATCTGCGAGGAAGCTCGGGCAGCCTGCACTTCGTGGACGCCTTTCTCTGGAACGGCAGCGTCTACTTCCCTTACTACCCCTACAACTACACGAGCGGCGCCACCACTGGCTGGCCCAGCATGGTGCGCATCGCGCAGAGCGCCGAGGTCCTGTTTCAGGGCCAAGCGGCCCTCGACTGCAGCCACGGCCACCCCGACGGCCGCCCCCTGCTCCTCTCCTCCAGCCTGGTGGAGGCCCTGGACGTTTGGGCGGGCGTGTTCAGCGCGCCCACCGGAGAGGGCCAGGAGAGGCGCACCCGGGCCACTACCGCGCTCTGCCTCTTCAGGATGAGTGAGATCCAGGCGCGCGCCAAGAGCTGCAGGTGGGACTTCGAGACTCAGCAGAACTGCGTAAGTCCTGCCCCCGGGTCCCCGCGGGGGCGCTGCTGGCCCGGAGCCGCCGTCTAGGCGGAGAGCAAGATAGGGGAACGTCCCGGTGACATTTACCAGGGTGCCAGTTCACATCGCCACTGGCCTTCTAAGACCTTGGTCGAATGTAAAGCGCGCCCGGACGTCCCCACAGGACGAGCGCAAAAAGCGGGGCGGGAAGGGCTGGAGCTAGGCTCCAAAGTCTAGCTCCTGCCTGCCAGCGCCCTCAGCCCCTGTCCAGTGTGGGCGCCTGTTTGGGGCTGAGCGTACCCACGCACCCCCTCTTTCCCTTGTCGCTTTTCCACACTCCTCGGAGTATCTCAGAGAGGTTGTGGACTTGAGTCTCCTGGTCAACAGTTAGCAAACACAGTGCCCTCTGTAGAGGAACTATTGAACCTAAGGGCTCACTGCCACACCCCAGCCTTTGTCCCCCCCCCCTCCGCCCCCCGCGGGCAACGCATGTGTACGTCTGAAGGGTGCAAGCCTGCTCCACAGGCTACGAGCACGCCGGGCTGCAAAAGGAACCCCGGCGAGAGCCGCTGCAAGGGGGCGGGGCTGTGGCCCGGCAAGGGTGGCTGCGGTCTCCCGCTGGGGGGAGCGCCCGGGGAGGCGGGGACAGCTTTGTGGGTGCACAGCCTCGCCCTGGAGGGGAGAGCAAGGGAAAGTGTTGGGGGTGCTGCAGGCAGTTTCTGGGCTCCAGGTTGCTGGGCTAGCTTGCGGGCTCCTTGGTCCCTTGGGCTGTGCCTGAATCAGGCAAACGACGCAGGTTTCCCCAGGGCTCTCGGCTTGAATCTTGAGATTGGCAGTTCTTTGACTGGGAAATAAAGCGGCAGTTCAAGAGGGCCCGGTTGATGGGGATTATGGAGCCATTGTGCACTTCTCAGGAGGCCGTTTCCCTTCCAAGGCTGCTGGCACATCAACTCCACATATGGCTCCTGAGAGGGGAGCCTGCCGAGAGCCTCCTTTAGAACTGGACAGAAATCAAAGAGCAGAAATTAACGGCTACAGGTGTTGCCATTGTTTTGGTGTAAAATGAGTCGGAGAGGAAGGGGAGAAGTCTCGACTTGGAAAGCGTGCTGTGTTGGTGCATTTGTTGTGAACTAACGGGGCACAGGAGGACCGTGGCTCTGAGGTATATAGAATATGTGGATAGAAAGATACCCCACCCACCCCTTTCTCTGCAAACACGTCTTACCCACTAGTCACCCTAATAGCTGCCGAGGAAAGGGCTCTTTAGAATGGCTCCTTGCGACTTCCTCTTTACCTGTTAGTTGTGTGCTGGGATAAACACATAACATCTTCATTTCATTACTGGTATAATTATGTATATATATTTCTATATACCACATATTGGCCTCCCCAAATGACTTAGTCTAGATGTACACATATAATTTAATATCTGCCCTTATACATCTTGGTAATCTAACGGTTCAAGTTTGGCAAAATGATCACCTTCCACTTCTCTGTTGAAAGACTTGAAATTACCCCCCAAATATTACTTTGAATCAAGCTTTAGGCACACTTGGTCTCTGGTGCTAATGACAAGACAGCTTGGAGGCCCACAGCAGGTAATAACGGTGGAGATCCAAGCTTTGCCATCTGACAGCTGTGTCCATGTGTGGAGCCAAAACATTTCTCTTGACTGCACCTACCTACAGGTCCTGCAGGACTGGGTTCCCTTTCAAACCCAGGAGGTATCCTGAATGCACTGGAAAGCCCCGTCCTGGCTCAATCAGGTGTTCCTACTTGTGCTGGGGTGGGGAGGGGCAGGGGCAGGAAGTCCCAGAGCTGTTTATCTGTCTTCAGCTCCTGGGAGAGAGCTGCCCCTTGGAAATCAAGCAAGGGATAAACACACACTGCCAGAAATCTGGAATGAAAAAAAAATAAATAATAAAAGCGGGCCCTTCCACAACAGTTCTTGCTGCTGTTATTTATCAAGAACTCCCAGGGAGCTCAGAGCTGTGTGTTCTGAAAGATGGGGTCTCTAGCCCCTGAGCTTGTCATCCAAGTTAAATAATATACTCTGGTTCAAACAATAGCATGTCATGGCTGCACAGGTGGGAGCTTGGAGTTTTGCATTTTTTTTTCATTCAAGTAAATTCCTTGCTGTTAGTATGCATTAAAAAGCCTAAATGGAATTGAACGTTAAGAGGAGTTTGAATGAAAAAAGGTGGTAGTTTTGAGGAAAAAGCTGACAATTTTCTAACCTATTAAATAGGCAGATAAGATACTTAATTCAGCAGATATTCATTTGATGCCTGCTTCTGTAAGCAGTGCTCTGTGCTGGGTGCCGCCAATTTTGCCACTGAAGGGACAATAGCAGGTTGCAACCCGTTTAATGGGGTCATGGGATCAGTGTGCCCCCGGTTGTCACTCAGAAGAATGATGTCATTTGATTGCATTTGTTCTGCATTTTGTTTTCAGGGTTTGAATGTGTTTTTGAAAGACATGCTGAATTATAGGTGCCTGAATCAGGAGCTGGACCTGAAACACTCTAGAGGGAGCCTTAGTAGGTTCTAGCAGCGGTTCCTTCTGAGCAAATAGTCATTTTACCGGTAATCCACAGGCAGCCAGGCACAAGCAGCTAGATTTGTTTGCCTTCTCTCTCCCTTCCTAGCTGATGCCTGTATTTTCATCTTCTGTTCAACAGGAAGTTGAACAGAACTGACTGGGCTGTGTTTTCCCAACTCACAGTTCTCTTATCTCCCATAAGCTGATTTTCTTCCCCTTTGGCTTTTCCTACGAAGAATTAATTTCTGAGATGCTTGTGCAGCGAGTGTGCACTCAGCTCTTTACACACTCGGCTGTTACTTTTTCTGCCTTGCTGCCAACTTTGAATCCACTTCCACAACTAGACTAGGTTCACTACAGCACCCCCAGTGTGCCAAAGGGGCTGATTTCTGCAGACACGTTCTCTACTACTCCTGATGAATGTTTGTGCAACACTTCCTCAAGCACCATTTCCTGGAGCCTCTCATCAAGTCTGAGGTCTATTCTGTGAGGAACATTCCATTTTTTAGATAAGATAGCTCAAGATCCAAGAGACAACTTAGGATAATGAAGTAAGTATCAGAGCCCTCCAGTTTACACCCAAGTCTTCCAGTGTCTAACTTCTGTATTCCTCCTGCTGTCCTGGTGGTTCTAGAACTTTCCCTTGAGGGTTCTCTAATTAAAAAGACACCAAACAACCCTCCCTCTCTTAGGGATGTGCTGTTGAGGGAAGGGGTAGAAATCTTGGCCTCTGTTATAAGATTTCACTTTTTTTCATTCTGTTTCATGACATACTTGTTTTTAGATTAATATAAACATGAATGTGTTAAATTATGCACAAGTTAATATAACTTCTTCTCTCTTTGAACTTCACTACCTTGGCACCCCCGTGTAACCAATAGGAAAGTGTTTGTGCTTGAGTTGGTGAAGACAGATTGTTCCAGAGTTGTTTGGCTGCCACAGTTGGGGTCCAAGGTGGCTTGTAGTTATTTAAATATGGCGACCACCTCTCTGTAGACAGCGAGGGTGGTACTTTTTTTGTAGTTTGGCCCACAGCACTGACTCTTCTAGTTCATTCTACTTCTTGTGGGAAAACACACACCCTTCTTCCACACTCATGTAATTCTAAAACCTGATATAATTTAACTGTCATGCAGACAAGCACAAAGGGCTCGCATGCTGTGCAACAGACAGCAGCCCAAGGCACATCTAGTGATGTATATAGAAGTGATCTCCCAGTTCCACTTGGTGATGTGGCCCATTGACCTCAAAATCCACAGCCTTCCTATGATGTTGATTCTTCTTCTAGTTTCTGTTATGATTCTGTCAAGCTATTTTGCTGTCTGTAGACTAGGCTGGGGAATTTTGCCCTCACATACCCATCTGGTACACAAGGATAGATGCAGAAAGGACAACTGCAATGACAGCACCCACTTAGAAAGGGGAAAAGCAATCCACTGAATAGTTATTATGGCTGGGTTTTGAGAAAAGCAATTTACATGCCTTATTTTCTGTCGATTCTCAGTCACCATAGGAGGCAAAGACTGGCTATTATGATCATTATAGATGAGAAAATTGAGACCCAGAGAGGTCTGTTTAGGTGCCGTAGCAAAGGATTTAGAACTTAACTGGCCCAATTATAGGACCCGTGCACTTAACCACTGCCATGATTAGTCAGTCCCTGTAGACACTGACTTCTGGTGTCAGGCCTGTCATTCATGCAGCAAGCTAGGGCTGTGCATCTCCTAGGGCGAGACCACTGGTTTGTGGGCAAGGACATAGCACAGGGTATCCTTACTATGATCTGAGTTCCTACGGTTATACCTGTGGTGTGACTCCTTGGAGTTCTGTCTCAGGAGGGTTGTATTTCCTCAGCCATCAACTTCTAGTCAGAGTCGTGTTCTTTGCCTTCAGGCCTATAAATGATCTTAAAGGGTGTTCTCTGTTGAACCCCCAGTTAGAGAATGAACTCTACTCATCACACAGTAAACACCATGTACGTGCTGACTGTCACCAACACGATCATGACTAGCAGTAGTAGCAGAAAGGGCTTCATATGGAGTTGGAGCGTGGTTCTGAATCCAAGGCAGAATAGTATAGAATAGTATCTGGTGTGTAGCTGGAGCCAAAGAAATATTTGTTGCATACATAAATGAATGATCTTAGAGGATCATGTTGAAAATAAATGTTTTCTGTTCTTTGCAGCAATACTTTCCTGAACTTGGTCACATTATATTCCTGTAACCCCTAACCATTGCCTTTTTCTTAATAGCTGATGTGCCAGGGGCCCTTTCTTTGCCCTTCTGAGGTTGTATGGTATGTTTTACTTTCCTGGCTCTTCCCAGTTTTCCCCACTCATTGAGCAGCCAGACTTCTGGTGTTGCCAATCTGGAAGTTAACTTTGTCCATAAAAGTCCAGCAGGATTGGAATTTCTATGGTTAATTTAGCACTGTGCTCAGTCATGCCTTTCAGGTCCTAGAGGAAAGGGCTT